TCTGTTTTAATAAACCAAGGAAAGGAATTCTGAATGTTGAAATATGTTAAAAACTGAATAAAAATAATTATTTTAAAAAAGTGATTTAAATCACTGATATTTGTTTAAAAAATCAAGTTGATTAAAATATTTTAAAAAATAAACTGATTTAAGTCAACCCAGCTCTGATTTCAATTATGGAAAAAAAGTAAATTGAATACTGTATTATTTTACAGTGAAAGGGGGGAAAGCAGACTTTTAAGCATGATTATATTAGTCTACTAAACCTTATATTTATTTTTATGAAACCAAGGAAAGGAATTCTGAATATTGAAAGATGTTAAAAAACTCAATTAAAATAATTTTAAAAAAAGTGATTTAAATCACTGATTTTTGTTTAAAAAATCAAGTTGATTAAAATATTTTAAAAAATCAACTGATTTAAATCAACCCAGCTCTGATTTCAATTATGGAAAAAAAGTAAATTGAATACTGTATTATTTTACAGTGAAAGGGGGGAAAGCAGACTTTTAAGCATGATTATATTAGTCTACTAAACGTTATATCTATTTAAAAAATCAAATTGATTTAAATTTAAAAAATCAACTGATTTAAATTGACCTGATTTAAATGAACCCAACCCTGTCTCTGTCTCTGTCTGTTTCTATTTCTGTCTCTGCTTCAGTCGCTGTTTCTGTCTATCCCTTTGTCTGTCTGACTTCTGAAAAAATGCAGCTAATCTAACTTAATCTCAATCTTTCTAACTAGCTGTTCGGAACAGGAACGGTTATTCCGAACGACGTGTGTCTGAGACATGGCAGCTCTTCTCTTACATAGCTCAGCCACATTTGGCTACCCGAGAATTACAAGGTTCTGTCTGTGTCAAGCTTTTCCCTCAATACAATTCTTGGGATATCTCCTTGACTTGATGACGACACCGAGAATAACCTCACGACTTTGATACAGCAGATAGAACGCTCATTGGGTTCTGGCCTCATGGTCTTTGGAAGTCAAAACAACCCAAAACGTCATGTAGAACTAATTTGCGATTTTGCTTGAACACCTTAGCTTAGCATGGCTTGAATTTTGCTGATTTCTAAAATTGAAAATGAGACAAAATACGCGTCCGTCATGTACTATTTTTTATTATTTATTTTTTATAAATATTTTTTTGGGGGCATAACTCTCAAATAATTTCACGTCAAATTTCTCAAAACTGGGCATTGAGTAGACAGAAGGTCGTAATTCTGGGGTAACGACTTCCTATACAACAACAATGTCAAGAGACAACGCCCACTCCTCCAGTAGGAGGAGGTGACACGATCTACCTTCCGGATCCTCAGATGTCCTCAAAAGGGCCCACAGCGTGCTGGGGGACGGCTGCAGCAGACTCCCCATCTCCATGTCTCTCTCTCTCCTCCTCCGCCCTCATCCTATCCTCCTCCTCCCTCTCCGCCTCCCTTTGACTCTCCTCGTCTCTCCTGAGTCGCCGCTGTTGGAGGAAGTGGGCACACAGGAAGATGACGGACATACACACCACCACGGCGCCGCACACACTCGTCACCTGGGGGGGG